GGATGAAACTGGCGAGTACTGCAATTCAGGCCCAAATTGTTGTGTCATTGTATTCGATTAGCTGAGTTTGCCAATGGCTCCAACCTCAACGAAGAGTCAGATAGCATTGACCTCAGAACCGGAGATGATGCTTTGACCTCAGCAGTACCAGAGACTACGGCAACCTGCTCATATCGTGGAGAGGAGTAAAGCACTCAGATAGATCCGACAACGTACGGGCCCAGCTTCGCACTCAGGGCCAACCAACTCGCAATGAGCTCAGACGAACTGTTTCGGGTTCCAATCGGACGGTACAACAAAGATGATGTGGCACCGGAGTCCGGGGCCTCAGCTCCAAGCTGTACTCCAACATTGGCGTCCTTTTTCTGTAGGAAAACTGTTGTTTGTTATGCCGTCATCTAACTTCCTCGCCCAACGAATACTAACAACACTGACTGTACTGTCCTTGTAGATGTGCGTGGTATTACAGGAGATCCTCCTCTCATAGCAGAGGGGTGCGTGTGTGTGCCAACCTCTGTTCCAAAGAGGATGTATGATTGACTACCTGCCGTCCTACTTATTCAATGCATCGCAGAAGTTTCCAGCTAAAGAAGACGCTTCAACCTGTTCCTGGGTGCTGAGAGCGCAGCTGGATTTGTCAACAATGAAAGTCAGGCCCCTTTCCTGTTTCCAAAAAATGAGTGTGCAAATTGTGGTTGAAACATGTTTTTGCAAGCTCAGACATGTCAATTGCCAGTCAAGCGTGAGTGATTGCGTTATAAGCTCTGACATGTCCTTCGCCAGTCAAGCATGAGTGATTGCGTTACAAGCTCAGACATGTCTTTTGCCAGCTAAACATGCGTGATTGCATTATCGCGTCAGAAAAGTAATCCATCAGTGATGGTGATGCAGCAGTTGTGGTGTTGATGGTTTGGGACGCGTCATGGTTTGCCAGCAACATGCAAGTAATACTAGCTTCCCTAATAGACAAAGATGATGTCAACGCCTCAGATCAAAGATTTTCACATTTGATTACCTGTTCTTGAAAGAGAATGAGAAAGAGAAAAAGAATTGCAGTCGCCACCCATTAAACCTCTTGGTCCGCTCAAGTGTGTATCCATTGTGGCATTCCTCTGGGCGCCACCTTAGTGGGGG